GGGGGGATTGGGGGGCTGGGGGGGCTCGGGGGGGTCAATGGGGAGGGCAGGGGGGTCTGGGTGGGTCGATGGGGGGCTATAAATGGGGGGCACATGTGAAGGGGTGTGGGGAGCACAAGGGGGGGGACACGGAGGGTCTGAATGGGGGGAGTTAGGGGTGCGTGGGGGAGAGTGTGTTTGGGGGGGGGCTTCTGGGGGCTCTCCCGACTCCCCCTGACCCCTCAAACCCTGACACCCCCCACCCTCCCAGATCCCCAGCCCCTCCGAACCCCCCAGCCCCCCAGCTCCCCCATGACCCCCCTCGTCCCCCCACCCCACCGACCTCCCCGTACCCCCCGTACCCCTCAGCCCCCCTCTAACCCCCCTCAACCCCTCCCTTACCCCCCCTTGCCTCCCCTTGCCCCCCGACCCCCTCTGACCCCCCGTGTCCCCCCTGACCCCTTGTGCCCCCCCCTGACGCCCCGTGCCCCCCTGACCCCCCCCCTGCCCCGCTGACCCCCCCACGTGCCCCCCCTTGCCTCCCCTTGCCCCCCGACCCCCTCTGACCCCCCGTGTCCCCCCTGACCCCTTGTGCCCCTCCCTGACCCCCCGTGCCCCTCCCTGACCCCCCGTGCCCCTCCCTGACCCCCCGTGCCCCCCAGGCACACGCGGGAGGTGCTGGAGCTGCGGGCGCGGCAGGACCGGGAGCTGCGGGAGCTGCTGCGGAGGCTCCGCGGGGACCCCCCGGAACGGCCCCCCCCGGAACGGCCCCCCCCGGAACGGACCCCCCCGCACCCCCACCCCCAGCACGGCCCGGGGGGGTCCCCGAGGAGGCTCCGGGGGGCCCAGGCCCGGGGGAGGGGCCGGGGGGGGGCCCCGACAGGTTTGGGGGGGACACGGGGGGGGTTGGGGTCACGGACAAGGGGGGAGGGCTGAGGGGAGGGGGATGCAAAGGAGGGTTGGGGGTCGTCTGTGGGGGGGTTGGGGGTGGGGAGGGGGGTTTGGGGTGTGGGGGGATTTGGGCGACAGGGGCTGGGGAATAAAAGGGGGTTTAAGGGAATGGGGGGGTTGGGGACTGTAAGGGGGGCTTGGGGGGCATGAGGGATTTTGGGGGGCAGGGAGGGGTCATGAGTGTGGGGGGTTTGGGCTGGAAGGTGGGTTTTGGGGTGCAGGGAGAGGGGATTTGGGTTGCCCCACGTTCTGGAAGTGTGTTTTGGGGTACTGGGGTGGCTTTTGGGGTACAGAGGGAGGTTTTGGGGTGCAGGGGTGGGCTGAGGCTCGGGGAGGGGTTTTGGGGTGCAGGGGGCCTTTAGGATGCTCTGCAAAGGGATTTTGGGGTCCGAGGGGTTTCGGGGGCTCTGGGGAGGGAATCTGGGGGGTCCAGGTGGGATCTGGGACACCCTCCATAACCCAGGGATTTCTGGGTTCCCCCCACAGGCCCCTCGACCCCCCCGGCCCCCCCGAAGCCCCCCCCAGCCCCCCCAAAAAAGGGGCTTTTCACGGATGACCTGCACAGGCTGGTGGACGAGTGGGTGCAGGACACGGCCCGGGCACAGGTGGGGGATTTGGGGGGCTGGGGGGGCCCCAGGACCTAAACTCCTCTTTAGGGGGGCTGGGGGGGCCCTGCAGCCCCTTTTTGGGGGATTAGGGGGATCCCAATATTTAAACACCCTCTTTTTGAGGGACTGGGAGGGTCCCCAATACCAGTTTTAGGGGGCTGGGGTGGGGTGTCTTGTGCCCCATTTTGGGGGTTCCCAATCCCTGAATCCCCCTTTCCCCCCTCCAGGGAACCTCGTCGTGGGTCTCGACCCTTCGCGGCACCCGCGGGACTCCCCAAAAATGGGGGGAGCTGCCCCCCCCCAAACCCAACCTCCCTCCGGGGGCTGAGTGAGGGGGGGCCCCAAAAACCACTGTTCCCCCCCCCAAGCCCCCCCATTCCACCCCAAACCCCCTGATTTTGGGTCATGTGTCCCCCCCCATGGGCTCACCCCGATGTTTGGCCCCCGAGTCACTTTGTTTCACCCCCTAAGCCCCTTGGTCTGACCCCCTGGAGGGTGCCCCCAAATTTCCAGCCCCAAAATCACCTCATTACACCCCAGAACTCCCCTTTTTTGGGGCCCAACTCCCTCCCATGGTGTGACCTTACCTTTGGCCCAAAATAGCCTTATTTTGCCCCCAAAATCCTCCTTTTTTGCTCCCTCCAGGTTGAATCCCCTTTTTTGGCCCCAAATCACTATATTTTACCCCATTTTTTAGGTCACTCCCCCTTTTCACCCTCCCCCCCAGGTGACCCCACTTTCTGATGCCCAAAATCCCCTCATTTCACCTCAAAACCCCCCTTTTTTGGGCCTTCCCCCCTCTGCATGAGGTGACCCCAATTTTTAGCCCCCAAGTCACCTCGTTTCAGCCACAAACTCCCTTTTTTTGTGACCTTTTCCACCCTCCCCTGATGTGACCCCACTTTTCACCCCCAAAATCTCCTCATTTCACCCCAAACCCCCTTTTTTAGGCCTATTTCCCTTTTTTTACGTCTCTCCCATGACATGATGCCACTTTTTACCCCCAAAATTACATTATTTCACCTCAAACCTCCCCTTTCAGGGCCTTCCCTTCCACCCCCCCGATGTGACCCCACTTTTCAGCCCCAAAATCTCATTTCACCCCAAACCCCCTTTTTTGGGTCTGTCCCTGTTTTTGTCCCCACCATGAGTTGACCCCAATTTTTAGCCCCCAAACGGTCTCATTTCGCCCCAAAACACCAACAGTTGACCCCCAACCCTTCCCTCACCCCCTCATTTGTCCCCAGATCCGTCCGTTTGCCCCCAAAGACCCCCCAGAGGTCCCAGACTCCCATTTTTCACCCCAAACCCCATCACAGGCCTGGAATCCCCCTTAACGTGGCCACAGGAGAGGGGAACTGGCCCTACTGGTTTCACTGGTGTGTGTCCCCCCCCCGGTCGTGCTGGTGCCACCGCCCCTCCCCCACCCCTTCTCTCCCCCCACAGCCGAATTTTGGGTCATTTCTTGTGTTTTCCTCTCATCCCTCTCCCCCCTTCGCCAGCCAGTGAAATCACGGGTGTTCCGCTTCGAGGGGGTGGGGAGGGCGTTTGACTGGGGAGGAGGAAGTTGTTATAAATTGTTATAAAGTGTGAAAAAAAAAAACCCTTAAAAATCGAAAAATGAAACCCACGCGCCACACCCAAGATGGCGGCTCGGCGCGACACCCAAGATGACGGCTCGGCGCGACACCCAAGATGGCGGCTCGGCGCCACACCCAAGATGGCGGACGCGCTTGCCACGCTCAATATGGTGGCGGTGACGCTCCCAAAATGGCGGCCGCGCCCTCCCCAAGATGGCGGCGCGGCCTCCCCAAGATGGCGCCGGGGCCCCGCCCTCGCCCTCCCCGTTTCCGCGTTTGAATAAAACTTTTCCCGGGCGCCCCAAGCGCGCAGAGGCCGCGGCGGCGGAGCCGGAGCTGGGCCCGGGCCCCCAGGGGCGGCGGACACCGGGCGGAGCCGGAGGAGCGGCCGCGGGAGGCTCGGGCCGCGCCGCGCTGAGGCCTAGACGGGAGCTGGCGGAGGGGGGGCGCGGGCCTCGCGGAGTCCCGCAGGCCGCGAGGGGGTCTGGGGGGATTCGGGGGGTCCCACGGGCCGCTGAGGGATCCCACAGGCTTTAGGGGGGTGTGTGTGAGGCGTTGGGGGGTCCTGGAAGCGTTTGCGGGGTCTCGTGGGCCTTTGGAGGGGGCCGAAAGGCTTTGGGAGGTCCTGTGGCCTTTGAGGGGGTCTTGTGGGATTTTGGGGGGTTTCGCGGGCCTTTGAGGGGGTCTCGAAAGCCTTTAGGGGGTCCCACAGGCTTTTTGGGCTCCGTCGGACCTTTCAGGGGGCCGTAGAAGCTTTTCGGGGGTCCCGGTAACCCCGCGGCACGTGGGGAGGGGCGGCCCGAGCCCCACGGACCCCGTGAGGGACCCCAGGGCCCTGCAGCGCTTTTGGGGGTCCCGAGACCCCCCCAAGCCTCCAGTGACCCCTTTTGGGGGGGGGGCTCCGGGCCCTATAAACCCTTTAGGGAATCCCAAATCTCCATTGGCCCTTTTGGGGATCCTTTTAGATATTTCGGGGGGGCTTGTTGTGCCCCTCAAGTCCCCCCAGGGTCCTCAACTGCCCCCGCGGGCCACGTTGGGGGGGCTTTAGGAGATCCCACTAGGGGCTCCAGCTGAGGGGCTGTTTTAGGAGAGGTGTTTTTGGGGGGCTGTTTGTTTTTGAGGGGCTGTTTTAGGGGGGCTGTTAAGGGGAGGTTTTGGGGTGGTTTTAGGTGGGTATTTTTAAGGGAGTGCTTTTAGGGGTTGTTTTAGGAGGGGGTTGTTTTATCACAGGGGCTGGTTTTGGGGTGCTGTTTTTAGGGGGGCTGTTTTTTCGGGGGATATTTTTGAGGGGCTGTTTTGTGGGGGATCGTTTTTAGGACCTGTTTTTGTGGGGCGTTTTTCGAGACTAGTTTAGGGTCTGTTTTTAGGGGGCCTGATTTAGTGGAGTGGATTTTGGGGGGGTGGTTTCAGGGGCTGTTTTTGGGGGTCCCCGTGATGTCCCGACCCGGAGGGGCCCGGGGGGGTCCGTAGGGGCTTGGGGGGTTCAGGAGGGGCCCGGGGGGTCCCCGGGGGTCCCACCATGGCCTCGGTGCCCGTTTACTGCCTGTGCCGCCTCCCCTACGACGTGACCCGGTTCATGATCGAGTGCGATGGCTGCCAGGACTGGTTCCATGGCAGGTGCGACTGAGAGCACTGGGAGGGACTGGGAGGGGATTGGGGGGCACTGGGGGCACTGGGAGGGGGTTGGGAGGGACTGGGAGAAGTCGGGGGGCACTGGGAGGTACTTGGGGGGCAGTGGGGAGGATTGGGAGAAGTCTGGGGGGAACTGGGGGCCACTGAGGGTTACTGGATGGGTGCCTGGGGGTTACTGGATGGGTGCCTGGGGGTTACTGGGTGGGTGCCTGGGGGTTACTGGGAGGCACTGGGGGTTACTGGGTGGGTGCCTAGAGGTTACTGGGAGGCACTGGGGGTTACTGGGTGGGTGCCTAGAGGTTACTGGGAGGCACTGGGGGTGTGCCTGGGGGTTACTGGGAGGCACTGGGAGTGACTGGGTGTCCCCACAGCTGCGTGGGGGTGGAGGAGGAGGCGGCGGCCGAGATTGACCTGTACCACTGCCCCCAGTGCGCCGTGCTCAGGGGGCCCTCTGTCAGTGAGTGAACTGGGAGCACTGGGGGGCACTGGGAGGGACTGGGATGGGGGCCTGGGTCCCTCTGGATCCATCCCAGGACTCTGTGGGTACTCTGGGGTCCCTGGGGGTCCACACGTGTGTCTGGATTCAGGGGGGTCTGTACGACCGTGTCCAGACAGGTCCATGTTAATCCATGGGCATTCGGGTCCCTGTGGATCCACGTGTTCCTGGGGCCACCTGGGACCAGAGAAACCCAGGCCCTTGTGAGTCCTCGTGGATCCAGGTGTTCCTGGGTCCACGTGGATTCCTGGGTGTCTGTGGATCCAGGTATTCCTGGATCCATGTGGATTCCTGGGTGTCTGTGGATCCAGGTATTCCTGGATCCATGTGGATTCCTGGCTGTCTGTGGATCCAGGTATTCCTGGATCCATGTGGATTCCTGGGTGTCTGTGGATCCAGGTATTCCTGGATCCAGCTCCACGTGGGTCTCCACAGATTCACGAGCTTCCCAATGTACAAAATCCCAGGTCCAGGCAGGTCCCTGTGTATCCATGTGTTCCTGGGTTTCTGTGTCCACGTATTCCTGGGTTTCTGTGGATCCCCGTGTTCCAGGGTCCATATGGGTTCCTCTGGATCCATCTGCTCTTGGATCCACGTGGGTCCATACAAACCCTGGGCTGTCCCTATGGATGTGTGCGTTCCCGAGTTTGTTCGGATCCCTGTGGATCCGGCTGTGACCGGATCCGTGTGGATCCATAGAAACTCCAGCCCAGACAAGTCCTTGTGGGCCTGGATGTTCCCGGGTCCCTGTGGATCCACCTGTCCCCAGCTCCATGTGGATCCATGGAAACCTGAGTCCACCCGGGTCCCTGTGGATCCCCTCTGGTCCCTGTGGATCTCCCTCCGTGCCTCTGGATCCCCGTGTCCCTGGATTTCTCTGTGTCCGTGTGTCCCTGGCTCCAGCCACGTTCCTCTGTTCCCGGCTCTGTATCCGTGTGTTCCTGCTGTATCCATCGGTGCTCCCAAGGGATCCACCCGTGCCTGCATCCCTGTGGCCCCCTGTATCCCCCTGTGTTTCCTTGTGTCCCCCTGTGTTCCCCTGTATCCTTGTGTCCCCTGTATTCCTGTGTATTCCTGTATTCTTCTGTGTCTCTGTGTACTGCTGCGTTTTTCTGTATCCGTGTTCCCTGTATTCCTGTGTCTGTTTGTGTCCCTGGATCCACTGTTCCTATGTCTTTCTCTATTTCCGTGTTTCTCTGTGTCCCTGTATCTCCTGTATCCCTGTATTCCCGTCCCTCCCCCGTTCCCACAGCCGTGTGTATCCGTGTATTCCCCCTGTCCCTGCATTCCCGCGGTTCCCGGGCCCTCACCCGTCCCTGTTCCCGCAGTGAAGCGGCGCCGGGGCCCCCCCAAGGCTCCGGATCAGGATCCCCCCGGGAGCCGCCCGGCCCGGACCGGGAGCGCCCAGTTCATCCGGGAGCTGCGGGGACGCACCTTCCCCAGGTGAGGGGACACCCCCGGGGCAGGGGGGACACCCCCAGGGGAGGGGGGACACCCCCGGGGCAGGGGGGACACCCCCAGGGGAGGGGGGACACCCCCGGGGCAGGGGGGACACCCCCACAGGAGGGGGGACACCCCCGGGGCAGGGGGGACACCCCAGGTGAGGGGGGGACACCCCCGGGGCAGGGGGGACACCCCAGGTGAGGGGGGGACACCCCCGGGGCAGGGGACACCCCCGGGGCAGGGGACACCCCAGGTGAGGGGGGGACACCCCATGGGAGGGTCCTGTCCGAGCTGAGCCCCCTTCCCAGATGAGGGCCCTGTGCCTCCCTGGGGGCTGTGCTGGGTTGGAGGGTTCTGGGGGGTTTTGGTCAGTTCGGGGGGGTCTCAGGGGTCCCGTGTCCCCCCCCAGTGCGGACGAGGTGCTGCTGCGGCCGGGGGGGGCCCAGCTGACGGTGGAGTACCTGGAGGAGAACAGCTTCAGCGTCCCCATCCTGGTGTCCCGGCAGGAGGGGCTGGGGATGACCCTGCCCCCCCCCTCCTTCACCCCCCGCGATGTCCTGCACTACGTGGGTGAGCCCGGGGGGGCACGGGGGGCTCTGGGGGGATCACAGGGGGTCTGAGAGGGCTTCACAGGGGTCAGTGGGGGTTTGGGGGGGTGTCAGGGGGTCTCTCTAATCTCTGGGTGTCCTGAGGGGCAGACAAGGTGGTCTCGGTGCTGGATGTGGGTTGGGGGCGGTCAGCGAGGGTTTGGGGGTCCTGGGGGAGTGTCTGTGCTCTGTGGGGGTCTCCAGGAGCAGACAAGGTGGTCTCGGTGCTGGACGTGGGTTGGGGGAGGTCAGTGGGGGTTTGGGGAGTTCCCAGGGGGGTCAGAGGGTCTCTCTCACTCCTGGGGGTCTCCAGGAGCAGACAAGGTGGTCTCGGTGCTGGATGTGGGTTGGGGGAGGTCAGTGGGGGTTTGGGGAGTTCCCAGGGGGGTCAGAGGGTCTCTCTCACTCCTGGGGGTCTCCAGGAGCAGACAAGGTGGTCTCGGTGCTGGACGTGGGCCGCCAGGCCGAGCTCCGGATGCGCCTCGGGGACTTCGTGGCCTATTTGGGGGGTCCCCGGCGCGAGAGGGTCCTGAACGTCACCGGCCTCGAGTTCTCTGACACCAGGTGGGCGCTGCTGACCCCCTCCTGTGCCCCCAGGCTGGGGGGCACACCTGGGGCAGCCCCCCCTGTGCCCCTCCTGACCTCCCCATGCCCCCCAGGCTGTCCAACCTGGGGCAGAGCCTCCTGTGCCTGCCTGATCCCCCCTGTGACCCCTGAGCCCCCTGTGCCCCCCCTGACCCCCCCGTGCCCCCCAGGCTGTCCAACCTGGGGCAGACCCCCAATCACCCTGTACCCCCCCGTGCCCCCCAGGCTGTCCAACCTGGTGCAGACCCCCCGGATCGTGCGGAAGCTCTCGTGGGTGGAGAACCTGTGGCCGGGGGAGTCGGCGCGGGAGCGGCCGAGCGTGCAGAAGTACTGCCTGCTGGGGGCCAGGGACGGCTACTGCGACTTCCACATCGCCTGCGGGGGCACCTCGGCCTGGTGCCACGTGCTCAGGGTCAGGGGGGGCTCCGGAGGGGGCTGGGGGGGGTCACAGAGAGCTTGGGGGGTTTCAGGGCAGTTAGGGGGGTTAGAGAAGGTTACAGGGGAGTTGGGAGGGTTACAGAGGGTTACAGGGGAGCCGGGTCTGGGGGTGCAGCTGCAGGGGCTGTGCAGGCACCTCAGCCTGGTGCCACGTGCTCAGGGTGAGAGGGGGCTTTGGATGGGGTTCGGGGGGGGGATTTGGGGGGTTAGAGCAGGTTTGGGGGAGTTACAGGGAGTTTGGGGGGGCTTAGGGGGGGCTGAGGGGGTTACAGCAGGTTTGGGGGCGTTTAGAGGGGGTGGGGGGTTACAGAAGGTTTGGGGGGGGTTAAAGGGGGTTTGGGGGTTTACAGGTGTTTGGGGAGTCTGGAAGGGGGTGTGATGGGTTGTGGTGGGTTTTGGTGGCTGGGGGGGTGGTTTAGGGAGTTTTAGGGGGTTTAAGGGGTGTTCGGGGTGCCTGGAGGAGGGTATGGGGTGATTTTAGGGGGGATTTGAGGGTCCAGGGCAGGGCTATGGGGGGGTTGGTGGGGGCTGCCCCTGACGTGCCCCCCGTGCCCCCCCAGGGCGAGAAGATCTTTTACCTGGCGCGTCCCTCGGCCGCCAACCTGTCCCTGTTCGAGGCCTGGAGCAGCTCCCGCAACCGCCCCGAGCTCTTCTTCGGGGACCAGGTGGATCGGTGCTACCGCTGCCACCTGCGCCAGGGCCAGACCCTCTTCATCCCCACGGGTGAGTCCGAGACCCCCAGACACCCCCAAACCCCCCTGCGCCAGGGCCAGACCCCCTTCATCCCCACGGGTGAGTCTGGGGGGGGCAGGGACCCCCAAACTCAGCAGGGACCCCCCAAACACAGCTCCAGACCCACCTGGAGCAGGGCCAGACCCTGTTCATCCCAAAAAGTGAGCCCTAGGCCCCCCGGGCACACCCCCAGGCCCCCAGGCACGCCCAAACCTCACCCACGCCACACCCAGACTCTGCTCATTGCCACGGGTGAGTCTGAGACCCCCAAACATAGCAGGGACCCCCAAACACACCTCCAGACACACCTGGACCAGGGCCAGACCCTGTTCATCCCTCCAGGTGAGAGAGGGCACCAAAACACTCCCCCATACCCTGCAGGGACCCCCCCACACCTGCAGACTCCCAACCCCACCTGTGCCAGGGCCAGACCCTCTTCGTACCCCGGGGTGAGGTACGGGGGGGCTTTGGGGACCCCCAGACACGCCCACACCTCACCTGTGCCAGGGCCAGAGCCCCCAACTCACCCTCAGCCTCCCCCAGAGCTCCCAGTTCCCCCCCAGAGCCCCCCTGACCCCCCTCGTGCCCCCCAGGCTGGATCCAGGCCTCGCTGACCCCTGTGGACTGTTTGGCTTTTGGGGGCAACTTCCTGCACAGCCTCAACATCGGGATGCAGCTCAGGTGGGGGGCTCTGGGGGGCTTTGGGGGGCGTGTCTGGGGGGCTTCAGGGTGGTTTGGGGGGTTTTTTTGGGGGGCTTTAGGGTGTTTCAGGAGGCTTTAGGGTGTTTGAGGGGTGTTTTGGGATGTCTTTTGAGTGTTTTGGGGGTGTCTTTGGGGAGGTTTAGCATGTTTTTTGCTGTCTCTAAGGTATTTTTAGGTGTCTTTGGGGGGCTTTAAGTGTTTTTGGGGGTCCTTGAGGGGCTTTAGGGTGTTTTTGGGAGTGTTTCGGGGCATCCTCGGGGTGGTTTTGAGGGATGATTTTGAGTCTTTGGGGGATTTGAGGGGGGGTGCAGAGCAGTTTTGGGGGCTCTCAAGACCAGGCTTGTTCTGTGGGGTCCTGTGGGGTTCCGTGGGGTCCTGTGGGGTCCCATGGGGTTCTGTGGGGTCCTGTGGGGTTCCATGGGGTCCTGTGGGGTTCCGTGGCCCCCCAACCCCCCCAATCCCCCCAGGGCGTACGAGCTGGAGCGGCGCCTCAGCGGCTCCGACCCCGTGAAGTTCCCCAATTTCGAGACCATTTGTTGGTACGTGGGGAGGCACCTCCTGGACACCTTCCGAGGTGGGTGCCCCAGATTTGGGTCTGGGGAGATTTGGGGTGGGGTGGGGTTTAAATCATGGTCTGTGGGGGTTTGGGGGGTTTTAAACCCCATGATGGGTGGCGGGGGGGGGATTTAAACCCATCCCGGGGGGGTTGAGGGCTCTAAAGCCCATCTGGGGAGGGCTGGGGGGGTTTAAACCCATTGGAGAGGGGCTGAGGGGGAGCCTGAACCACCTCTGGGGGTCCCATCCCCAATTTGGGGGGGTCTTTGCTGATCTCATCCCCCATTTTGGGGGTCTCAGCCCTGTCTGAGGGTGCCTTTCGGGATGTTCCTGGGGGTCCCACCTGGGGCTCCTGTGATTTGGGGGGGCAGGGGGGGCTCCCCCAGGTCTGGGGGGTCCTGGGGGGTGTCCCTGAATGTTGGGGTTCTGCAGGGCTGTGGGGGGGGGACAGGGGGGTCCCAGGGGGTCCCTGAGCATTGGGGTCCCACAGGGCTGGGGGGGGATGGGGGGGTCCCAGGGGGTCCCTGAGCGTTGGGGTCCCGCAGGGCTGCGGGAGAACCGCCGGCACCCTGCAGCCTACCTGGTGCACGGGGCCAAGGCCCTGAGTGGGGCCTTCCGTGCCTGGACCCGCAGGGAGGTGGGTCTGGGGGGCCAGGGGGGGCTGGAGGGAGTGGGGGGGGGGGCTACAGCAGGATTCAGGGGGGTTACAGTGGGGTTTGGGGGCTGCAGGGTGCTGGGGAGGGTCTATGGGGGGATATCGAGGGGTTAGAGGGCGATTTTGGGGGGGGTTTACAGGGGATTTGGGGGGGCTCTGGGGGTTTGGGTGGCCCTGGGGGGCATTACAGGATGGGTTTGGGGGGGTTACAGGCGGGTGTCTGGGGGGACTCTGTGGGGTTTGCGTGGCCCTGGGGGTTACATGAGTGTTGGGGGGACTCTGTGGGGGTTTTGCGTGCCTGGTGGGGTTCAGGGAGGGTTTGGGGGGACTCTGTGGGGTTTGCGTGGCCCTGGGGGGTTACAGGGAGGGTTTGGGGGGACTCTGTGGGGTTTGCGTGGCCCTGGGGGGGTTACAGGGAGGGTTTGGGGGGACTCTGTGGGGTTTGCGTGGCCCTGGGGGGGTTACAGGGAGGGTTTGGAGGGCTCTGGGGGTTACAGGGGTGGGTGGGTGCAGCTGGACCTGGGGGGAAGGTTTGGATGTTCCCCCCTGTTCTTTGGGGGGTTCCTCCTGCTTTTGGGGGTCCCAGTTGGTGGGGGGGGGTCAGAGGGGTTGTTCTGGGGGAGTTGCCCCCACATTTGCTCCCCTGACCCCCCCCAAATCAGGTGCTGGGGGAGCATGAACATGAGATCCCCGAAACCGTCCGGCCGGGACAGCTGGTGAAGGAGCTGGGCAGGGAGATCCGGCTGGCCGAGGTGACTGGGAGCACTGGGGGGCACTGGGGAGGGACTGGGGGGAACTGGGAAGGGGCTGGGAGTCACTGGGAGTTACTGGGGGGGTTTCTGGGAGCTTTGGGTGGTTACTGGGACGCACTGGGAGATACTGGGGGGAGGGTCTGGGATCTTTTGGGGGGTACTGGGGGTCACTCGGGGTGCTCTGGGAACTTTGGGCAGTTACTGGTTGTTACTGGGAGTCATTGTGGGGGGCTCTAGGAGCTTTAGTGGGGTTACTGGGAGTCACTGGGACTTACTGGGAGTTACTGGGGGGGCACTGGGAGCCCTGCCTGACCTCCCCTCCCCCCCAGGAGCTGTTCCAGCAGAGCACGGGGATGTCGGGGACCCCCTTCGGCCCCCCCTGGGGGGTCCCAGCCCCCAAAAAGGGGGGTCCCCGCAAGCCCCCCCCCAGCTCCCGCCCCCCTGACGAGGAGGGGGCCCCCAACCCCCCCCAGGACCCCCCCGAGGAGGACGAGGAGGTGAGGAGGGGGCTGGGGGGTGTTTGGGGGGGGCCGGGGTTGGGGACCCCCCTGACCCTCGGGGGGCTCCCCCAGGCTGACCCCCCCAGCTCCAGCGCGGAGGAGACGGACCCCGACTCGGAGGGGGACCCCCAGACCCCCCTGCACAACGGGGGGGCTCGGTGAGGAGGGGGGCACTGGGGAGGGGCTCAGGGGGGCTTGGGGGGTCTGGGGGTGGTTGTGGGTGCCGAGGGGGGACTTTTGGGGTTCCAGGGGCAATTGGGGGCACTGGAGGGGGCTGGGGGGGCACAGGAGGGATCCCGTGGGCTTCTGGGGGGTTGAAAGTGGGTTTGGGTTCTGAGGGGGGTTGGATGATGAGGGGGGTCCCAGGTGGGTTTTGGGGTCCAGGGGGGGTCTCAGAAGGGTTTTGGGGTTCAGGGGGTTCCCGGGGTGAATTGGAGGCACTGGGTGGGGTTTGGGAGCAGTGTGGGGTTCCAAGGGGGAACTGGGGGGGTTCTCAGAGGGGTTTGGGAGGGCTGGGGTGGGTTTGGGGGGCACTGGGGAGGTGGGTTTTGGGGCCCAGGGGGTAACTGGGGGGGGAGTTACTGACCCCCCCACTGACCCCTCCCCCCCCCCGCCCGCCGGAGCCGCCCCAGGGGGCTCTGGGGGTCCCGCCCCCCCCCGTCCCCCCCCTGCTCCCCTCCCAGCTCCCCCCTGGACCTGGACTCGGAGGAGGAGCTGCAGATTGATGAGACCCCCCCTCGGAGGGGCCCCCGTCGGCTGCCCCGTGGGTACCCCCAAAACCCCCCCAAACGCTCCCCAACCCCACCTAAACCCCCCAAAATCCCACCTAACCCCCCCCATGGCTACCCCCAGAAACCCCCCCAAAACTCCCCAAAAATCCCCCCCAAAACCCCACCTAACCCCCCCCCGGCTGCCCCTTGAGTACCCCCAAAAAAATCTCCAAACCCCTCCCCTAAAAAATTGGGGACCCCCAAATTCCCCCCGAGCACCTCAAAACATCCCCCAATCCCCCCTTAACCCCCCCCCCGACGCCCCCGCCCCAAATGCCCCTCTGGGGGTGCTGGGGGTCCCTGACCCCCCCTGACCCCCCCTGACCCCCTGTTGCCCCCCAGGGCTGCCCCGGAAGCTGCCCCGGGCCAAGCCCTGCTCGGACCCCAACCGGGTGCGGGAGCCGGGGGAGGTGGACTTTGACATCGAGGTGGGTCCAGCAGGGGGGTCCCAGAGGGGTTTGGGGGCACTGGGGGGGCTCTCAGAGGGGACAGGGGGGTCCCAGAGGGGTTTGGGGGCGCTGGGGGGGCTCTCAGAGGGGGACAGGGGGGTCCCAGTGCAGGTTCTGGGGGGCTGTGTAAGGGTTGAGGGGGGTCCCGGAGGGGATTTGGGGATGTTTTGGGGGGTTTGGGGGCTGATCCCCCCCCCCCAGACAGGAGGATTACACCATGGACAAGAATGAGGGGAATATTTTGGGGTTATTTTGGGGTGTTTTGGGGCTCATTTCCCACTCCCCAGGAGGATTACACCACAGATGAGGATGAGGAAGGAGCTGCCGGGGGCAGCGCCGGGATCCTCGACCTGCTCAAGGCCAGTCGGCAAGTGGGGGGCTCCGAGTACCCCCAGCTCAGGTGGGGGGGCTGGGGGGCCTTTGGGGGGTCCCTGGGGGCTGGGGGGGGGTTTGGGGGGATTCTGGGGGTTCTTTAGGGGCTGTGGAGAAGCTTATGGGGGGTCTGGGTTTGGGTTTTGGGGGTCCCCAAATGGTTTTTGGGGGCTCTTGAGGGTCCTGGATTTAGTTTTGGGGGTCCCCAGAGACTGTGAGGGCTATGGAGGGGGTTCTCAGGGGCTCTGGGGGGGTTTGGGGGGTCCTGGGTTGTGTTTTGGGGGTTGCCAGGTGGTTGTGGGGGGTCCTGGCTTTGGTTTTGGGGATCCCCAGGTGGTTTTGGGGGGTGCTGGGCTGTGTTTTGGGGGTCCCCAGCTGGTTTTGAGGGTGTTTTGGGGGTGCTGCGTTTGGTTTTAGGGGTGCTGGATTTGTTTTTGAGGGTGCTGGGTTTGATTTTGCGGGTGCTGGATTTGGGGGTCTCCAGGCAGTTTTGGGGGGTGCCGGACTGTGTTTTGGGGGGTGCTGGGTTTGGTTTTGGGGGTCTCTAGGCAGCCTGGGAGAGTTTTTGGGGATGCTGGGTTTAGTTTTAGGGGTGCTGGGTTTGTTTTTGGGGGTGCTGGGTTTAGTTTTAGGGGTGCTGGGTTTGGTTTTGGGGGTCCCCAGGTGGATTTACCCCCCTGCCCCCCCAGCGAGGCCCCCGCGTCCCCCAGCACGCGCGAGGCCATCCAGGGGATGCTGTGCATGGCCAACCTGCCCGCGGGGACCCCCCTGGGCCCCCCCAGCTGGTGGTCCGGGGGCTCGGGGCCCGACCGGGGGGGTGCCGGGGGGTCGGGGGGGGGCAGGAGAGCCCCCCCAGCCCCCCGGAGCACGGACAGCGAGGCCGAGGGCAGCCTGGACGAGCAGGACAGCCTGGGGGCCTGCTTCAAGGACGCCGAGTACAGTGAGTGTGGGGGGGCCGGGGGGGCCCCCGGGCTGGGAGAGACCCCCCTGAGCCCCCCCCGACGCCCCCTCCCCAGTTTACCCCTCCCTGGAGTCGGACGAGGACGACCCGGCCCTCAAGTCCCTCCCCAAGAGGAAGAAGGTGACGGATGATGCTCCCTGGAGCCCCAAAGGTGGGGGGGAGACCCCAAAAAATGGGATAGGGGGGCTGGGGGGGGTAAATGGAGGGTTTGGGGTGGGGCTGGGGGGTCCCTGAGTGCAGGGAGGGGGGTTGAGGGGAAGTTTGGAGGTTTGGGGGTCTGCAGGGGAAGTGAGGGGGTGTATGGGGAGGCAGGATGTGGGTTTGAGGGGGGTCCCCAGGGGTCTGGGGGGGATTTGAGGGGGGGACTGAAGGTTTTGGGGGGGCTCCCTAAGGGCTGGGGGGGGAGGGCTGAGTGTTTGGGGGCATTGTAAGGAGACTGGGGCTTGGTTTGAGGGGGGTCCCCATGGGACATGGGGGGATTCCAGGGGGCTCTGAGGGTGGGATTTGGGGTTCTTGGGGGTTTTAGGGGACTGTCTGGGAGTTTAGGGGATCCCTGGTGTGGGTGAGTGGAATTTGAGGGGGGGGGCCCTCTCCCACGACTCCTGTCCCCCCTGACCTGTCCCCATGTCCCCCCCCTTTGCCCCCTGTCTGATTTTGGGGTCCCCCTTTGCCCCCCAGCCCGGGTGACGCCGTCGCTGCCCCGGCAGAGCCGCCCGGTGCGGGAGGGGACCCGCGTGGCCTCGGTGGAGACCGGACTGGCCGCGGCGGCCGCCAAGCTGGCCCAGCAGGTGGGGGGGACTGGGGGCACTGGGGGGGCACAGGGGCCAAACTGGGGCCAAACTGGTGAGGGGGTCAAAAAACCAGGACCCTCCAAAACCCTTCCTGTACTCCCTGAGCCCCTCAAACACCCCACAGACCCCCTCATAGACCCCCAACCACCCCTTGAACTCCCTACAGCCCCTCAACCACCCCACAGAACCCCCCATAGACCCCCAACCACCCCTTGCACCCTTGAGCTCCCTACAGCCCCTCAACCACCCCACAGAACCCCCCATAGACCCCCAACCACCCCTTGAGCTCCCTACAGCCCCTCAACCACCCCCCTGACGCTCTTACAGACCCTCCGAGACGCCCCAATCCCCCACTGGAGATCCCCAGGGCCACTGAGGCCCCCTCTAGACCCTCAGAGCCCCCCAACACCCCATAGACCCCCCCCGGACCCCCCTGACCCCCCGTGCCCCCCCAGGAGCACCGGAAGCTGCAGCGCAGGAAGGGCCCCCCCGCCAAACGCCGCCCCCCCCCCTCGCCCCCCTCCCCTGAGGAGGAGGAGGAGGAGGAGGAGGAGGAAGAAGAGGAGGAGGAGGAGGATGAAGAGCCCGACCCTGAGCCCGAGGGGGGGGAGGGGGACCCCGAGGTGGGGGGGGAGGGGCAGGCAGAGGTCGTGGGGGGGGAGGGGGAGGCCGAGCCCCCCCCGGAGCCCCCCCCAGACCCCCTGTACCCCCCCAGCCTGGCTGACCACGAGTACACGGCCCGGCCGGGGGGGCCCCTCCCCACGCCTGGGGGGGCTCAGCCAGGCAGGGCCCCCACCCCCATGGCCCCGGGGGTCTTCCTGAGCCAGCGCAGGGGCCCCCCCGGCACCGCCCCCCCCCAGCACGGTGAGCGGGGCTCGGGGAAGGGTTGGGGGGGGGTTAGGGGGTTTTGGGGGTCTGGACAGAATTTGGGGAGGATTTGGGGCGTTTTGGAGGGGTCTGGATGGAGGATTTTGTGGGGGAGTTTCCAGGGGGGGTTGTGTGGTTTTGTGGGAGTCTGGGAGGGAATTTGGGGGAGTCCAGAGGGTGACAATCCCGGAATGGTGAGGGGTGATTTGAGGTGATTTTTGGGGTGATTTTGGGGTTCTTTCCCTGGCAAATGCTCCTGGAAAGGTTCGGGGTGGTTTGAGGTGATGTTTGGGGTGATTTTTTGGTGGATTTTGGCTGATTTTGGGTCCCTTCCCAGGCAAACGCCCCCGGAAGGGTTTGGCCACGGCCAAGCAGCGCCTGGGCCGGATCCTCAAGATCCACCGGAACGGGAAGCTGCTGCTCTGAGGGGGCGTGGTCACACCTGGCCCCGCCCCCGGGTGTGGCCAACACAACCCACACCCCCTCCCTGCATGGCCACGCCCACCCAGATCACCCGAGGGGCAGGGCCAGGTGTGACCACACCCCTCCCGATGTGACTCCACCCACCTTCCTCTTTGGGGTGCCAGCCTAGACACGCCCATTGTGGGTGCGTCCTTAGACCAGACCACGCCCCACCCTGAGCCACACACAAAATGGGCGTGGTTTGAAACAGACCACCCCCCCCCCCGTGGTTACAGCCCTGCCTATCACCTGTATTGGGGGCAGCCAACTCTGGCCACGCCCACAACGGTTACCACGGGGCCACGCCCATCTCCATTTAGGGACATTCAGCTGCGGTGATGGGCGTGGTCATGCAAAGCCACGCCCCCGAGGGAGGAGCTGCATTCAGGCCCCGCCCACAGTCGATCCCACCCTTCATTAGCCGCGGCTGAAGGAGCGGGGCTTTCTCCCTCATCGGACACCGTGATTGGCCGAGTCGTGGAAGGGGTGGGGCCTCCTCTGATTGGTCCCTGCCGGGATCTCCCCCCAGGTGTCTTCAGGTTGATTGACGGGGGCGGGGCCGCTTCCCATTGGCTGCCCCGGTTTTGTAGGCGTGTCCGAGGCCGCAGCCTCGCCCCCTTTTTGTATTTGTAGAATAAAAACTGAAAAAAAGGAAAAACGAAAAAACCCGAAATCGTGGGAAAATTGCCCTGCGCGGGGTCACGTGCTTGTTCGACAGAATCTCGCGACATTTCAGGGTCTTCGCCCTCAGTTCCGGTGTTCTCGCGAGATCTCTCAGTCCATTCTGGAGGCACCCTCGCGATCTCTCGTGCTCCTGCTTTCCAGGAACTCTCGCGAGATCTCGCTCCCTCCCTCCACCCCTCACCCGGCGCTCTCGCGAGACCCGCGCGCGCCGCCGCCGTTCCCGCCGCTGAGGCCGCGCTCCCTCCCCCCCTCCTTCCCTTCCCCTCCCTCAGCGGGACCGGCCCCGCGGTGCTGCCGCCGCCCCCCACGGGATCCGCCCTTCAGCGCCCCGGTGAGTGCCGGCGCTGTGGGGGGGCCGCGACCGGCGTTGGGACCTGGGTTGGTTTGGGCCCCTCCGTGAGGGGCGGGGCTTCCCCATCCTCCACCGCAAGGCTCCCTCCCCACTCACGAACTCTCGCGAGATCACCCCCTTCTCCCACCCCTCAACCCAGCCGCTCTCGTGAGATTTTTTTCCCTCCCCGCCCTCCCTCCCCCCCTCCCGCTTACCGGAGCTCTCGCGGGATTTGCGGCGGCTCTCGCGGGATCGCGGCCGCGGCCGGGGCTCAGGGTAAGATGGCGGCGGCGGCGGCGGGACCGGCCCGGGCCCCGCTCTAACCGGGACCCCCCCGCACCCCCTCGCGTTGCGACCCCCCCCACCGCCACCGCCACCTCCACAAAGGTACCAGAGCCGCCCCGGGGGCCGCTGAGCGCGGGGGACGGCGCGGGGATGGCGCCCGGCTCCGTCATGCGGGGCCCCCCCCCCCCCCCAGCGGCCTTTCCGTGATTTGGGGGCTCCTTCCCCTCCCTCAGCAACCCCCCCGTGGCCCACCCCGGGCCGGGATCCCCCCGACGGCGTTCAGGGGCTTTAGGGGTCCCTTGTCGGCTCTGATGTTAGGTTCTTATGTTTTGTAGGGCTACCCCCATCTTTGAGGGCCCTCCCCGTATTTTAGGGTTCCCCTGTATTTTGGCGGTTCCTCCCAGTATTTTAGGGTCGTTTCCTGTAATTTGGGTTCTGTTCTCCGGTATTTTCCCCCTCCCCAAATCTTTCCTGTCATTCCGGGCCCCCCCTCAGGGGTTTCCTGGTATTTTGGAGATCTCTTTATTGGGTATCACTTCCAAATCTTCTTGTGATTTAAAGACTCTCTCTTTTGGGGGCTTTGGATTCTTCAGTTCTGCCAGATTTTAAAACACACCTCCCCCACGATTTAAGGTCCCCCCATGGCTTAGGGCCCCCCGCGATTTAGGTCCTCCCTTTCATGATTTAGGGTTCCCCCCTTTACGTCCTCAGGATTTTAGGGTCGCCTTTGTGGTGCCCCAACCCTCCCCCCCCTCCAATTTTAGGGTCCCCCTTTCCAGTTTCCCCCAGTTAAGGCTCCCCCGTGTCCCCCCCCCCCCCCAATAATTTTGGGGACCTTTTCCCGGACTTAGAACCCCCCCCATCGCAGCCCCCCCTCACTGAGCCCCCCCCTCACAGGGACACCCCAAAACTCACCACTCCGTACCCCAATTTCCCCCCCAGCATCTCCCGGTTCCCCCCCCCGCAGCGACCGGGCCGAGGATGGACTGGGAGTGATTCCCGGTAAGGGCCCTCCCGGGACCCCCAGAACCGGGAGGGGGGGTTGGAACCACTGGGGGGGCCCGGAGAATTTGGGGGGTGCCGGAAGCACCCGGGGGGTCCCTAAACTTGGGGGGCGTGCTGGAACCACCCGGGGGGGGCCCGGAGAATCTGGGGGGAGTTGGATCCATTGGCGGGGGTTGGAACCACCGGGGGGGTCCCAGCGAATATGGGGAGGGGGGTCCCTTCCGGGGGCTTGTTTCGGGAGGGCGGGGGGGGGATGGGACCCTCAGGCTGGTTTTTCGGGGGGGGAACACCTCAAAATGCCCCAGGGGGGTCCCGGGAATTCCCCCCCTCCCCCAATTTGATGCGTCACCGTGACCGGACCGGCTGGGCCGGCGGGGGGGGCGGGGGGAGCCCCTAATTAGCAGCGGTAATTACAGGCCGTCGTGGGTTAATTAGGGGGGCGGGGGGGCCCGTGACCCCCCTCGGGGCTCCCCCCCCCGGGCCCGGCGGGGTTTTGCACATTCATTGTTCGACGTCACCGGTTCCGCGGCGGGGGGTGGGGGGTGATCGGGGGTGGAGGGGGGTAATTTGGGGGGGGGGCGATCCAGGGGGGGTCCCGGTGTGTGTTACACCCCCCCCGCGGTGCAGGAGGGACGAGAGGAAACGGGAACCCCCCCAAAATGAAAGTGGATCGGACGAAGCTGAAGAAAACCCCGACGGAGGCGGTGAGGGGGGGACACCCGGGGGGGTTGGGGACACCCGGGGGGGGTGGGGACACCCGGGGGGGGTTGGCAACACCTGAATGCACTCAGAGATACTTGAGGGGGGGTTCAGGTCACTGGGGGTGGGAGGCACCCGCGGGGGTTAATTGGGGACAGTCAGGGGGGCGTTGGGGACACTGAAGAGGAGTTGGGGACAGTTGGGGGGGTTGGGGACAGTTGGGGACCTTGGAGGGGGGAATTGGAGTCACCTGGGGGGTGTTGGGGTCCCCAGGGGGGCATGGAGATTCCCAGGGAGAGGAATTAGGGACACTTGGGGGGGTCAGGGGCACCTGGGGTGGGGTCAGGGACACTGGGGGGGAGTTGGGGACATGGTGGGGGGGAGGGGTCAGGGGTCCCGGGTGGCTCCACAGTCAGGAGGGGCTGGGGATGCTGGGGGGGACAATCAGGGCTGGGGGGGTTGGGGACACCCGGGGGGGGGGCAGCTGGGGACAGCCAGGGGGGCATCAGGGACACCGGGGGGGTCCTGATCTGGGGGGGTCTCTGTGGTGATGGGGGTCCCTGTTTGGGGGAACTCCCCTCAGTGACGGGGGGCTTGTTGGGGGGTCCCTGCCCCCCCGTCACGGGGGGGTCCCTGCTGAGGAGTCCTGTGTGCCTACAGTGTCTTTTGAGGTGGGGGGGAGTCTGTTGTGGGGTCCCTGCCCCCTGGGGTGGGGGATTCCTGCGTGACAGAGGTGTTTTTTGAGGTGGGGGGGTGGGGGGGGTCTGTGTTGGGGGTTCCCTGCTCCCCTCTCGTGGGGGGTCCCTGCTGACTGTGCCCCCCCCAGCCCGCCGACTGCAGGGCCCTCATCGAGAAGCTCAAGGGCTGCACGGACGAGCAGCTGGTGACGGAGCTGCAGCAGATCAAGACATGGAACATCGGCAAGGTGGGCTGAGGGCCCCAGAACCGGGGGGGGCTCAAAAACCTGGGGGGGGCCAGAATTCCCCAGGGTTTGTCCAGAAGTTCTTGTGGTGGTGTCGAATTTGGTTTGAAGTTACTCCTTGCTACTGAGGGGAAGGGGTCCCTGGAGACTCCCCCCAGCACAGGGAGCCCCCCACACTTCCCCTGCAGCACCCCCACACTGGGAGGGACCCCCCAAAATGTTTTTCCAATGAAGAATGTGCCTGACTTTGGCTGAGGCCCCCAAAACTGCACAGAGACCCCAGGGTGGGTCAGGTCTGATACCTCTTTAGAGACCTGAATTAGGGGGAGTCACCCCAAATTTTTTGTAGTTGTTTTGTTAAATGGTGAGGGGACATCCTGTTTTTTTACTTACCTGTCTCCAAAATTAGGGATCCCCCAATTTCCCCTCAGGCCCCCCAAAGGAGCCCCCCATTTCTTCCCGCTTGGGCCTTGGGGGCTCTGAACTCTTTTGCTTGCAGAGCTCAGGGTGGCCTCCCAGGTTCACAGATCCCCCCCTAAAAGGGCCCCCATGACACCAAGGGGATCCCCCAATGTGTTCCCATCCCCCCAAAGGGGAATTCCCACCCCCACAAATTTCCTCCTGTCCTGGGGCTGTTGTGGTTCCAAACCTTTTCCCTCACGGAGCCCCAGATCTCTGGGGGGCCCCCCAATATCCGTGCAGCCCCCCAGCCCTGGGGGAACTACAGAGATGTTGGGGAGGACCCCCATGCCCCAAGCACCTGGGGGGAACCACAGATCCTTCCTAGCCCCCAAATTTGGGGGTGGGACGTGGGGTGGAGTGTGAGCTGGGGGTCCCTGGAATGGGGGGGTTCTTGGGGGGCTGGGAGCCAGGGAGTCGTGGGGGCCATGCTGTGCCCCCCCATCTGTTGTTATATCTCACCATCTCCCACCTTTGGGGTTCCTGGGGGGCTGTGTGACCCCCCCCGGTTGTGTTTCCCCCCCAGTGTGAGCTGTGCCCCGGCTGGACCTGCCGGGCGGGTTCCATGCGCTGCCGGCCGAGGCCGGGCTGGGTCGGGGTGTCCCCCCGGGGCTGTGGGGATTCCTGGGGGGCTTTGTAACCCCCCAGTCTGTGCTGTGACCCCCCCACTGTGTGTGTGTGCCCCCCCAGTGCGAGCTGTACCACTGGGTGGACCTGCTGGACCGGTTCGACGCGCTGCTGGCCGAGGCGGGGCGGCCGGTGGACACCATGAGCTGGATGCTGAGCTGCGACCGGCCCGAGCGGCAGCCCCTGAAGGCCCTGCTGCTGGCCCTGCTCAACTTCACCGCCCTGCTCATCGAGTACAGCTTCTCCAGGCACCTCTACAGCTCCATCGAGGTGGGGGCACCCCAAAAACCCTGCAATGGGGGGCTGGGTGTGATCCCTCTCTGGGCCTGATGTGCCGTGTCCTGGGGAACGGGGCTGTGTGACCCCCCCGTCCTTATTCCTGACCCAACACGCCCCCACAGCACCTGAGCGCAGTCTGGGGGTCCTGGGGGTCTGTGTAACCCCCCCATCCCCATCCCTGACTGTCCCTGACCCCCCCAGCACCTGAGCACCCTGCTGCCCTCCTCGGACATGCACATGGTCCTGGGGGTGTTGGGAGCTGTGTAACGCCCCATCTGTGTCCCACCGTGTTCTGGGGGTCTCTGTAGCCCCCCCTGACCTCCCCTGTCCCACCTCAGCACCTGACCACCCTGCTGGCCTCCTCGGACATGCACGTGGTCCTGGCCGTGCTCAACCTGCTCTACGTGTTCAGCAAACGCTCCAACTACATCACCCGCCTGGGCTCCGAGCGCAGGGGGCCCCTGCTCGCCCGGCTGCAGCACCTGGCTGAGGTGGGCAGGGGTCCTGCAGGGCTTTGGGGGGGGCCTCGGGGGAGGGGGGGTCCTGGGGGACCCTGCTCACCTGGCTGCAGCACCTGGGGGAGGTGGGGGAGGTCTGGGGGGTCCCTGGTGCTGAGCTGGGTTATTTCCCTGCAGAGTTGGGGTGGGAAGGAGAACGGGTTCGGGTTGGCCGAGTGCTGCCGGGACCTGCACATGATGGTGAGTGAGCCCAGAATCATCTGGGGACCCCAAAACTCACCTGGGCCTTCCTGTGACATCCCGGGACCCCAAAACTCACCTGGGCCTTCCTGTGACATCCTGGGACCCCAAAACTCACCTGGGCCTTCCTGTGACATCCCGGGACCCCAGAACTCACCTGGGCCTTCCTGTGACATCTCGGGACCCCAAAACTCACCTGGGCCTTCCTGTGACATCTCGGGACCCCAAAACTCACCTGGGCTGTACTGTCCCATCCCAGGGTCCCCAACCCCACTTTGCCACCCCTGTCACACTCTGGGGTCCCCCAGTCTCCCACCCCCCATGTCCCAGTGTCCCCAACCTGGCCCTGTGACCCCCCTCCACGTCCCCCCAGGGGAGGGGCCCCCCCTGACCCCCCCGACCTGCTGTGCCCCCCCAGAAATACCCCCCCAGTGCCACCACCCTGCACTTCGAGTTCTACGCCGAGCCGGGGGTCGAGGTCAAGGTGGACAAGAGGGTGAGTGAGGGGGACGTTGGGGGGACATTTGGGGGCAATGGGGGGTCCCCAAGGCACTGGGGCCCCCCCTGACCCCCCTGACCCCCCCAGGCCACCAGCACCACCCTGCACTACATCCACATCGAGCAGCTGGACAAGGTGAGTCCGGGGGGGCCCTGATTTGGGGAGGGGGCTGTGCTTTGATTGGGGTCCCCCAATCCTGGCCCCATTTTTTGTTCGTCTGCTCCCTCTTTTTGCCTTTTTCACCCCAATTTGTGGTTTTTTCCCCATATTTTTACTCTCTTGACTGTGCTTTTCTGTCTTCACTTTGATTTTGTTCTTTGCCCTGATTTTTCACGTTCTGTGTATGTTTTTCTTGTTTCACTGTAATTTTTTCATTTTTTGTTGCTTTTTGTCCCTGAGATTATTTTTTATCCCTGTTTCCTCCTCACTGTTTTTAAATTTTTCAATTTTTTTGTGTTTATTTCTTGTTTTTGCTTTTATATCTTTGTTTTTATTTCTGTCCCTGTTTTTATCTTTTTCTCCTAATTTTTTGTCTCTCTGATTTTTCCATCTTCGCCCTTATTTTTTTTCACCCTTATTTTTTCCCTTTTCATTCCTGTTTCCTTCTTTCGCTCCTTTTTTCTCTCCTTAATTTTTCCTGTTTTACCCCTTTTTTTTGTTTATATTTTTTGCTGCTTCTCCTTTTTTTCTCCTTTTCCTGTTTTTGTCTTTTTCCCCGATTTTCTTTTTCTCTTCACTCCCCTTTTTTATTTTCTCATCCCCGTTTTTTCCCTTTTCCCCCCCATTTTCGCCCCCTCCCCAATTTTCTCTCCCCCCTCCCCAGATTTCCGAGAGCCCCTCGGAGATCATGGAGTCGCTCACCAAGATGTACAACATCCCCAAGGACAAACAGGTGTGAACCCGGGGGGGCCTGGGGGGTCTCGGGGTCACCCAGGGCTGGGGGGTCTCCCCCAGACCCCCCGGCCCCCCCTGACCTTGTGCCCCCAGATGCTGCTGTTCACCCACATCCGCCTGGCCCACGGCTTCTCCACGCACAGGAAGCGGCTGCAGGCGGTGCAGGCCCGGCTCCACGCCATCTCCATCCTGGGTGGGCTTCTTTGGGGGGCTGCTGGGGGTGGGGGGGCTCCTGGGGGGCTGGTTGTGACCCCCCCTTCCCCCCCAGTGTATTCCAACGCCCTGCAGGAATCGGCCAACAGCATCCTGTACAACGGGCTCATCGAGGAGCTGGTGGATGTGCTGCAGATCCCGGACAAGCAGCTCATGGTGAGACCCCCTGGGACCCCCAAACACCCCCCCAACCCCCCCTCACCCCCTGCAGATCCCGGACAAGCAGCTCATGGTGAGACCCCCTGAAAACACCCTTGGGACTTCTCAAACCTTCTCTGGGACCCACCAAACTCCTGCAAACACTCCCCTGACCCCTTTGTTTCCTGCCAGGACCCCCCAAACCCCCTCTGGGACCCCCCCAAAGGCCCCCCTGGTTTCTTTATACCCGTTACTGGGACCCCAGGGCAGCGTCGCTGCAGGACCTTCGTCTCCATAGTTCACTTGGAGAGGATTTCCCAAACGTTCTCTGGGACTCCCCAGACCCCCCCAGATGCCCCCCTGACCCTCCTGTCCCCCCCAGGACATCAAGGCGGCGTCCCTGCGGACCCTCACGTCCATCGTGCACCTGGAGAGGACCCCCAAGCTGAGCAGCATCATCGACTGCACCGGCACCGCCTCCTACCACGGCTTCCTGCCCGTGCTGGTCCGCAACTGCATCCAGGCCATGATCGGTGGGTCTGGGGGCTTTGGGGGGCCCGGGGGGGCTGACCCGCCCTGACACCCCCCCTGCGCCCCCAGACCCCTCCATGGAGCCCTACCCCCACCAGTTCGCCACGGCCCTGTTCTCCTTCCTCTACCACCTGGCCAGTTACGACGCGGGCGGGGAGGCGCTGGTGTCGTGTGGGATGATGGAGGCGCTGCTCAAGGTGGGCTCTGCTCCCTTCTGGGGGGGTTTGACTCCGTTTAAGGACCCCCCTGAGTCTGTTTTTGTCCCTCCCCCCTCGAAGGTGATTAAGTTCCTGGGGGACGAGCAGGACCAGATCACGTTTGTGACGCGGGCGGTGCGGGTGGTGGATCTCATCACCAACCTGGACATGGCGGCGTTCCAGGCCCACAGCGGCCTCTCCATCTTCATCTACCGCCTCGAGGTGGGGCCTGGGGACCCCCAGCACGGCTCTGGGGGGTCCTGGGGTCCCTTGCGGAGGGGTTGGGGTCACCCTGCCCCGGCTTTGGGGACACCTGGGTGGGGTTGGAGTCACGCTGGCCCAGCTTTGGGGATGCCTGAGGTGGTTCTGGGGTCCCCTGGGGTTGTCCTGGGGTTCTCTGGGAGTTTTTTGGGGGTGCCTTCAGGGTGTTTTGGGTCCCCTATGGTTGTTCTGGAGTCCCACTTGGGTTTTTCTGAGCAGCTCTGGTGATTTTGGGTCCCCCCCCAGGATCTTTCTGGGGTGGGTTTGCCTGGGTTGTTCTATGTTTCCCTGAGGTTATTTTGGGGATCCCCCTGGGGTTGTTCTGTGTCCCTCTGGGGTTATTTTGGGGGTCCCCCCGGGTGTTTTTGGGGGCGTTCTGGACCCCTGAGTGTGTCCCCCCAGCACGAGGTCGACCTGTGCCGCCGGGAGTGTCCCTTTGTCATCAAACCAAAGGTGCAGAGACCCCCGGCCACGGCAGCCCCCGAGGGCGAGGACATGGAGACGGACATGGAGGGTGAGCGGGGGGTCTGTCCCCCCCCCGGTGTCCCCTGGGACCCCCGGTGTCCCCCCAGACCCCCCATTGTCCCTGTGCCCCCGCAGTGACCGATGTGGCCATGGAGAGCAGCCCCTCGGCCCCCCCGGCCGTGCCCAGCACCAGCTCCGGCCCCAGCAGTGCCACCCCGTCCCCCCGCGGCGGTAGGTGACCCCCGGGGGGCTGGGGGGATGTGGGGGGGGGGCCGTGGGGGCACCGTGGGGGTCTCACCCCGCTCTGTGCCCCCCAGGAGTGCAGTGCATCCCCCAGCGCGCCGCCCTGCTCAAATCCATGCTGAACTTCCTCAAGAAAGCCATCCAGGACCCCGCCTTCTCCGACGGCATCCGCCACGGTGGGTGGTCCCTGAGACCCCCCAGAGCCTTGGGGGTGGGGGGGGTGTCACAGCCCCCCCTGACCCCCTGTTTTGGGTGCCCCCCTCAGTGATGGACGGGTCGCTGCCCACGTCGCTCAAGCACATCATCAGCAACGCCGAGTACTACGGCCCCTCGCTGTTCCTGCTGGGTGAGCGGCGCCCCGGGCCCCCAGGGGGGGTGGGCAGGGGTTGGGGGCTCCCCCCGGCCCCCCCAGGCCCTCCCACCCCCCCTCAGTGCCCCCCTGTGTCTCCTCCCGCCGCAGCGACCGAGGTGGTGACGGTGTTCGTGTTCCAGGAGCCCTCCCTGCTCTCGTCGCTGCAGGACAACGGCCTGACCGATGTCATGCTGCACGCCCTGCTCATCAAGGACGTGAGTGACACTGTCCCTTCACCTGTCACCTCACCTGTCCCCTTCACCTGCCTCCTCACCTGTCCTTGTACCTCACCTGTCCCCTCACCAACGTCCTGCTGCTCGCCCAGCTCACGGAGGACACGAGTGACCCCTGTTCCCTCACCTGTTCTTTCAGCTGTTCCCTCGAGGACATGACACGCTCTCCTCTTCTTTTACTTGTTTTTTGTTTGTTGTCTCCCTTGTCCTCCCATCTCTGCACTCACTTGTCCCAGCACGTGTCTGTCACTTGTCCTGCAGCTGCTCCTTCACCTGTGTCCTCACTTGTGTCCTCACCTGCCCTGTACCTGCCCACCTGCCTGTGGCATCCCTACCCCACGTGTACCCAGCCCTGCCCCTGCCCCCCAGGGCTGCCCCCACCCCAGCCCCACACCTGCCCCAGGTGTGCCTCTCACCTGTCCAGGTTCCAGCGAAGCAGGAGATCCTGGGCTCGCTGCCCAGCGTGTTCAGTGCCCTGCCCCTCACACTGTCTCTCACTTCTGTCCCTTCCCTGTTTCTCACCTGTCCCTCACACCTGTCCTGTCCCTTACCTGTGCCATCTCTCACCTGTCCCCTCAGGTCCCAGCCACCCGTGAGGTCCTGGGGTCCCTCCCCAACGTGTTCTCCGCCCTGTGCCTGAACGCGCGGGGGCTGCAGAGCTTCGTGCAGTGCCAGCCCTTCGAGCGCCTCTTCAAGGTGCTGCTGTCGCCCGACTACCTGCCCGCCATGAGGAGACGGCGCAGCTCCGACCCCCTGGGTGAGACCCCAAACGGGGGATTGGGGAGGGGGACACACAGGCACAGCTCCGACCCCCTGGGTGAGACCCCAAACGGGGGATTGGGGAGGGGGACACACAGGCACAGCTCCGACCCCCTGGGTGAGACCCCAAACGGGGGATTGGGGAGGGGGACACACAGGCACAGCTCTGACCCCCTGGGTGAGACCCCAAACGGGGGATTGGGGAGGGGGACACACAGGCACAGCTCTGACCCCCTGGGTGAGACCCCAAACGGGGCTGTGAGACCCCAGATAGGGGTTTGGGGGGGAACACACACGCTGGCAGTCACAGCTTTGATTGCCTTGGTAAGACCCCAGATGGGGGCATTTGGGGGGTTGGGGTGGGTGAGTTTTTGGGGCCTCCTTGTATTTTCATGGCCTGCAGTGTTTTGGGGCAAACACCCCCTATTTGGGAACGCCCCTATTTCTTGGGAATTTCTCTGTTTTCTGAGGACCACCCCATTTCTTGGGCCCCCCCCAACCCCCCTGTGCCCCCCCAGGTGACACGGCCTCCAACCTGGGCAGCGCCGTGGACGAGCTGATGCGGCACCAGCCCACCCTCAAAACCGACGCCACCACCGCCATCATCAAGGTGACACCGGGGGGACACTGGGGGGGTCTCTGGGGGTGCCCCAGGGCCCCCCCTCACTGAAGCCCCCCTCCCCAGCTGCTGGAGGAGATCTGCAGCCTGGGCCGGGACCCCAAGTACATCTGCCAGAAGCCATCGATGCAGAAGGGGGAGGGGGCGGGGGCTGCGCCCCCCCCGCGCTCCCCCCACGCCGCCGAGGAGGCCTCGAGCGAGGACGAGGAGGAGGAGGAGGTTCAGGCCATGCAGAGCTTCGGGGCCGCCCAGCAGAGCGAGGCCGAGCCCACCCAGACGTGAGTGAGGGGTCCCTGAGGGGCTGAGCCCACCCAGACGTGAGTGAGGGGTCCCTGGGGGGCTGAACCCACCCAGACATGAGTGGGGGGTCCCTGGGGGGCTGAACCCACCCAGACATGAGTGAGGGGTCCCTGGGGGGCTGAACCCACCCAGACATGAGTGGGGGGTCCCTGGGGGACTGAACCCACCCAGACATGAGTGGGGGGTCCCTGGGGGGCTGAGCCCACCCAAATGTGAGTGGGGGGTCCCTGGGGGGCTGAGCCCACCCAGACATGAGTGGGGGGTCTCTGGGGGGACCAAGCCCACTGAGACGGGAGCCCACGTCTCATGGGGAGGTCTAGGGGGGGCTGAGCTCACCCAGATGTGAGCAGGGTGGTCTGGGGGGATTTTTGGGGTGGTCCTGGGGGCCTTTTGGTGGTGGTGGGGTGTCTCACCCCCTGTTCACTCCCATGTCGTTGCAGGGTGGTGGGCACAGAGGAGCGGATCCCGATCCCGCTCATGGATTACATCCTGAACGTGGTGAGGAGCTGGGGGGCACAACCATCCCGGGACTGGGGGTCCTTCTGCACCCTGAATCCCCTCCTTAATCCCCTCGGGGGGGGTCCCTTTTCCTCTGAGCCCCCCGGGGTTGGATTTTGGGGTGTTCTCTGTCCCCTGAGCCCCCCTGAATTTCCTTGGGGGGAATTGGGGCTCCCCCTGCCCCCCAGACTGCCCTGAGCAACCCTGTGGGGGCACTGGGGCTTCCCGAGCCCCCTGAACCCCCTTGGCAGAGAACTGGGGCTTCCTCTCGTGCCCTGAGCCCTCCTGAACCCCCCCAGGGGGAATTGAGGCTCCCCCTGCCCACCGCCCCCGAGCCTCCTGGGGACAGTTGGTGCTCTCCTGCCCCCTGAGCCCCCCTGAAGGCCCCTGGGGGGAGATTTTGGAGCTGCCTTGCCCCCCAAAACCCCCTGGACCCCCCCTAAGATGGGATTTTGGGTCTCCCCTTGAATCCTTCTCTTAGGAATTGAGGCCACCGTGTTCCCTGAGCCCCCCTAAACTCCCCGGGCTGGGATTTTGGAGCTCCCTGAGGGGGAATTGGGGCTGCCCTGTCACCCAAACACCCCTCTGAGCTCCCTGGGGTGGGGCTTTCGGGGCTCCCTGACCCCCCCTGACCCCCCGCCCCCCAGATGAAGTTCGTGGAGTCGATCCTGAGCAACAACACGACGGACGATCACTGCCAGGAGTTCGTGGCACAGCGGGGGCTGCGGCCCCTCGTCACCATCCTGGGGCTGCCCAACCTGCCCGTCGACTTCCCCACCTCTGCCGCCTGCCAGGCCGTGGCAGGGGTCTGCAAATCCATCCTGGTGAGGGCTGGGGGGGCTTCAATCCATCCTGGGGTCTGCAAATCCATCCTGGTGAGGGCTGGGGGGGCTTCAATCCATCCTGGGGTCTGCAAATCCATCCTGGTGAGGGCTGGGGGGGCTTCAATCCATCCTGGGGTCTGCAAATCCATCCTGGTGAGGGCTGGGGGGGCTTCAATCCATCCTGGGGTCTGCAAATCCATCCTGGTGAGGGCTGGGGGGGCTTCAATCCATCCTGGGGTCTGCAAGTCCACCCTGTGACCCCCCCTTGCCCCCCCAGACCCTGTCCCACGAGCCCAAGGTGCTGCAGGAGGGGCTGGTGCAGCTGGAGTCGGTGCTGTCGGCGCTGGAGCCGCTGCACCGGCCCATCGAGGCGCCGGGGGGGTCGGTGCTGCTGCGGGAGCTGGCGGGCGCCGGGGCCGTGCCCGACGCGACGCTGTCGGCCCAGGCCACCCCCCTGCTGCACGCGCTGACCGCGGCCCACGCCTTCATCATGATGTTCGTGCACACCTGCAGGGTGGGGCAGGTAACTCGGGGGGGTTAAACCTGATTTGGGGGGTTAAATCTGATTTGAGGAGGTTTGGGAGGGGTTTGTACATGATGTGTGTGCACGCCTGCGGGGCGGGGCAGGTAACTTTGGGGGGGTTGAAGCCCAGTTTGAGGAGACTTAGGGGCTGGAGAGGGGGTCTGGCAAAGTTTAACCCTGGTTTGGGAGGGGTTTTTACCTTTGTCGTGACGTTTGTGCACACCTGTGGGACGGGGCAGGTAACTTTAGGGGGGTTGAACCCAATTTGGGGGAGGTTGGGGAAGGGTTTGGGGGGTCAAGGAGGATTTTGGGGTGGTTGAAGAGAGTGTTGGTCGAGGTGAGGAGGATTTTGGAGGGGTTGAGGAGAATTTTGGGGGCAGCAAGGGGCATTTCGGTGGGTCAGGGAGGATTTTGGAGTGGCTGAGGCGTGTCCTTGTTGGGCGAGGAGGAATTTGGTGTGTCCAAAACAGCTTCTGGGTGCTCAGGGGTGATTTCGGGGGCTCTTTGTTCCCCCCCAGAGCGAGATCAGGGCCATCTCCGTGAACCAGTGGGGGTCCCAGCTGGGGCTGAGTGTGCTGGGGAAGCTGAGCCAGCTCTACTGTTCCCTGGTGTGGGAGAGCACCGTGCTGCTGTCCCTCTGCACCCCCAACAGGTATGGGGGGCCTGGGGGGCACCCAGGGGAGCTGGGGGGCACAGGGAGAGCACCATCCTGCTGTCCCTGGGCACCCCAAACAGGTACAGGGGGCTCAGGGGGGTCCTGGGGGGACAAGGAGGACCCTGGAGGTCTGGGGGGGGGTCTCAGCACTGAGGTGCTGCCTCCACACCCCAATAACTGTGAGGGGGGTGTCCCCTCAGCTCTGCACTGTCAGGGGGTCTGAGGGGCTGGGGGAGGCTCTGAGGGGCTGAGGGGGGATTTGAGGGGCTCTGAGGGGTCCCAAGCAGTCCCCCCAGCCCCATGAGCCTCCCCCCGTGTCCCCCCCAGCCTCCCCCCGGGGTGTGAGTTCGGCCAGGCCGACATGCAGAAACTGGTGCCCAAGGAGGAGAAGGCACCGAGCCCCCCCCAGGGCGGCCGGAGGGCAGGTGGGACTGGGGGGGCTCTGGGGGGCTGCAGGAGGGGGTGTTGGTGGAGGGAAGGGGCTCCAATGGAAAGGGACTGGGGGGAAAGGGGGGGTCAGTAGGGGAAGGGGGGCTTGGGAGGGTTTTTTGAATTAAAAAAGAGGGTCTTTGGGGGGTCTCAGGGGGGTTGGGGGAGGCCTTTAGGGTAAAGGGGAGTTAGGGGATCTTGGGGAGGGTCACTGTGGGAAGGAGGAACTTTGGGGGTGTTTAAGGGGAGGGGGGTCTTTAGAGGGGAAAGGGGGAGTTGGGGTCTCTTTTGGGGAGGGAGGAGGGGTTTTTGGGGGGAGTCTGTGGGAGGGGGGCACATTTGGGGGATGGGAGGGTTTGGGGGGGTCTCCAGGGGAAGGGGGGGTTTGTGGGGGAGGTTGTTCTTGGGGGGTCTCACCCCCCTTTTCCCCCCCAAGAGGGTGAAGCGGAGGGTCCGAGCCCCGCGGGGGGGGCGGGCAGTGACCCCCCCCCGGCCCAGGGGCTGCTGGAGGGGATGGGGCTGGAGGGGGAGGCCCTGGCCCCGATGGAGACGGACGAGCCGAGCGCCACCGACCCCAAGGCCAAGGCCAAGATCACCCCGGCCATGGCCGCCCGCATCAAACAGATCAAACCCCTGCTCTCTGGTGAGGGGGGCGAGAACGGGCTGGGGGGGGGCAAAAATGGAAGGGGGGGACAAAAATGGAATGGGGGGCCCAAATATGGCCTGGAGGGGCCATCCTGGAGACCCCACCCTGGAGGTCTCTTGTCCCGGGGGGTCTCTCAGCCCTTTCCTCCCATCCCAGGGATCTCTCTCCCTGTGCCCCCATCCCAGGGGGTCTGACCCTGTCACCATCCCGGGGGTCTCTCACTTTGTCCCCCCTGTCCCTACAGCCTCATCCCGGCTGGGCCGGGCTCTGGGTGAGCTCTGGGCTGTTCCCTGTTCCTGTCCCCTGGGTCCCGGGGGTCTCTCACTGTGTCCCCCCCTCCACACAGCCTCGTCCCGGCTGGGCCACATTCTGGCCAAGCTCTTTGGGTTGTTCCCTGTCCCCCCCATCCTGGGGGTCTCACAGTGTCCTCTGTCCCCATCCTGGGGGTCTCACCCTGTCCCCGTCCCCATTCCAGGGGTCTCTGCCCCCATCCCGGGGGTCTCTCACTGTGTCCCCCCCTCCCCACAGCCTCGTCCCGGCTGGGCCGGGCTCTGGCCGAGCTCTTCGGGCTCCTGGTGAAGCTCTGCGTGGGGTCCCCGGTGCGGCAGCGCCGCAGTCACCACGCGGCCGCCGCCGCCCCCGCGCCCACCGCGGCCGCCCGGGCCACGGCCTCGGCCCTCACCCGCCTGCTCACCAAGGGGCTCAGCTGGCAGCCCCCCCCCTACACCCCCACCCCCCGCTTCAGGTGAGACCCCAGGGCTGGGGAAGGAGGCGTCTGGGGGGCCTCTTAGGAAATGAGGAGGGGTTTGGGGGGATCTCGGGGGGAAGCAGGAGGGGTTTTGGGGGGTCTCTCTGTGGGGGTTATATTTGGGGAAGGGCTTGAGGAAGGGGGCAGAGTTGAGAAGGGGTGGGATGAAGGGGTGGGGCTGGATTGGGGTGGAGCTGGTGGGAAGGGTGGAGTTTAATTGGGTCTAATTGGAGTGGAGTCAAATGACAAGGGTTTAATTGGGGTGGAGCCAAGAAGAAGGGGCAGGTCTTGGTGGGGTGGGGCTGAGGATGAGGGTGGAGCCAAGGAAAAGGGGTGGGATTTTTGTTGCACAGGGCGTGTCCACATTACCTGGGCAGGGCTTGTGTCCCCTGTGGCCTCCCGAGGGTGGAGTTGTGGGTCTGGGGTGGGTGTGGTTGGTGCCATGGGCACGGCCTGACCCTCCCTCCCTTCCCCCCCCCCAGGCTGACGTTCTTCATCTGCTCGGTGGGGTTCACGTCCCCGATGCTCTTCGACGAGCGCAAGTTCCCCTATCACCTCATGCTCCAGAAGTTCCTCTGCTCCGGCGGCCACAACGCGCTCTTCGAGTGAGCCCCGGCCCTGCCCTGGGCCCCTGACCCTGCTCCCTCAACCCCAGAGCCCAGCCCTGAACCCTAGACCCCACTCCTTCAACCCCAAACTCCACCCCAAACCCCATTTGTTGCCCCTTCACCCCATTTTGTGCCCTCAACCCCATTTCTTACCCTGTGTCCCCACTTCCTACCCCTGAACCCATTTTGTGCCTCCCAGATCTCATTTCCCACCCCCTGATCCCCATTTCATGCTTTTCTTACCACATTTCACGTCCTTTAGCCCTTTTTCTCACCCTTGAACCCCATTTATGCTTTACAGTCCCCATTTGCCTCCACTTGAACCCCATTTCAGGCCTTTCTGACCCCGTTTCATTTCCTCCAGCTCTTTTTTTGATCTCTTGGACTCAATTTTGTGCTTTCCTGAACCCATTTCCTGCCCCTGAACCCCCTTTTGTACCTTCCTGATCCCGTTTCCCCTCTCTTTAAACCCCATTTCATGCATTTCTCACCCTATTCTCCCCTGCCCCCCATTTTGTACCCCCCCGACCCCATTTTGTACCTTTCCGCCCCCAATTCCAACCCCTGACCCCCACTTCATGCCCCCATTTCCATCCAAGCACTCCCCCTCCCAACCCCCTGTCCCCCAACCCTCCCGTGGGGGGTCCCGTGATCTGGGGGTCCCCCTCTCACCCCGTGTCCCCCCAGGACGTTCAACTGGGCGCTGTCGATGGGGGGGAAGGTGCCGGTGGGCGAGGGCCTGGAGCACCCCGACCTGCCCGACGGCACCGGCGAGTTCCTGGACGCGTGGCTGATGCTGGTGGAGAAGATGGTGAACCCCAGCACGGTGCTGGAGTCGCCCCACGCGCTGCCCGCCAAGGGACCCCCCCACGGGCACCCCCCGTTCAGCGCCCTGCGCTTCCTCGTCGTCACGCAGAAGGTCGGGGAGGGAAAAGGGATAAAGGGGGTTTGCGGGACAGAGGGGAAACTTGGCGTTGCAGAATAAGGGTTGGAAAAGGAAGACAAGGAGGGGTGGGAAACGTGAGGGGAAAAGGGCAGGAAAACGGGGAGAGAAAAAGGTGTGAAAAGGGAGCAAAGAAAAGTCAGGAAAGGGGGGAAAAGGCAGGAAACGTGAGGGAAAAAGAATGGGGAAAAGGAGAGAAAAAGGGTGAAAAACATGAAAAAATGAGAGGAAAAAGGACGGGCAGCGTAAGAGAAAAAAGGGCGGGAAACGTGAGGGGAAAAAAGGGCGGGAAACGTGAGGGGAAAAAAGGGCGGGAAACGTGAGGGGAAAAAAGGGCGGGAAACGTGAGGGGAAAAAAGGGCGGGAAACGTGACAGGAAACATGAGGGAAAAAGGGCAGGAAATGTGAGGGGGAAAAAATGGCAGAAAACGTGAGGGAAAAAGGGCAGGAAACGTGAGGGGGAAAAAATGGCAGAAAACGTGAGGGGAAAAGGGCGGGAAATGTGAGAGGGAAAAAATGGCGGGAAATGTGAGGGGGAAAAAAGGGCGGGAAACGTGAGGGGAAAAAAGGGCGGGAAATGGGAGGGGAAAAAAGGGTGGGAAATGTGAGGGGAAGAAAACACAGGAAAAGGGAAAGAAAAATGGGTGGGAAATATGAGGGGAAAAGGGCAGGAAAAGGGAGAACAAAAGAGTGTGGAAAAGGGTGACATTTATGTCCCCTCCATGTGTGACATTCACGTCCCCCTCCCGTGTCCCCCCCAGGCGGCCTTCGCGTGCATCAAGCAGCTGTGGCAGCGGCGGCCGCTGAAGGTGTACGGGGCGCGCATGGCCGAGTCCATGCTGGCCATCCTGTGCCACATTCTGCGCGCGGAGCCGCTGCTGCGCGAGCGCCTGGGCCGCGAGCGAGAGGGGCCCGCGGGCGATGAGCCGGGCGGCGACGAGGGGGGGCCCCGCCGTGAGCCACACGTCAACCAGCAGCAGCTGCAGCAGGTGGGGGGACACTAAACCTGCCTTTGTGACCCCCAAACCTCAGCTTTGTGACCCCCCAAACTTTGACTTTGTGACCCCCCAAACCTCGGCTTTGTGACCCCCAAACCTTGGCCCTTTGTCCCCCAAAACCTCAGTCTTGCACCCCCAACGCTCAGCCTTGGGCACCCTCAAAACCTCGGTCTTGTGACCCCCAAACTTGCCAAACTTTGATCTTTCCTGGTTCCCTCAAACGTCCCCTGGGTTCTCCCAGACCTTTTTCTTTAATTCCCCAAATGCTTTCTTTCTGTCCTCAGACCTCTTTCTGCCCCCCCAATCTTCCTCTTTGCTCTCCAAACTAATTTTTGAGTCTCTCAAACCTTCTTTGGGTTCTTGACAATTCTTTTTTTAACCCCTAAACCCCAATGTTATCCCCCAATCCCCTTTTTTGATACTCCAAAGCCTTTTTTTATTCCTGAGACCTCTTTTTTATCCCTATAAAGCTCTCTTTGTCCCTCTCTGAGCCCGCCTACCCTCTCTAACCCCCCCTCATGTGCCCCCCCAGCTGATGGACATGGGTTTCTCCCGGGAACACGCCATGGAGGCCCTGCTGAACACCAACACCATGGAACAGGCCACCGAGTACCTGCTCACCCACCCGCCCCCGCTCATGGGGGGCACGGCGAGGGTGAGTTTTGGGGCAGGGGTGGTCCCTGAGCCCCCCCGCAGCCCCTCACACCCCCTGTGCCCCCCAGGACCTGAGCATGTCCGAGGAGGATCAGATGATGAGGGCCATTGCCATGTCCCTGGGCCAGGACATCCCCATGGACCAGCGGGCAGAGTCCCCCGAGGTGGGTGTGGGGATGGGGGACTATGGGGGGGCTATTTCTTCCCTCCAAACCCCCACTTTTCCCCCCAAACCCCTCATTTTCCCTCCCCAAACCCGAATTTTCCCCCCCAAACCCCATTTTTTCCCCCAAACCCCTCATTTCCCCCCCCAAACCCCCCTTTCTCCCCCACCCCCCGTTTCTCACCCCGTCCCTCCCCAGGAGGCCGCGTGCCGCAAGGAGGAGGAGGAGCGGCGGGCGCGGGAGCGGCAGGAGGAGGAGGAGGCCAAGTGCCTGGAGAAGTTCGAGGGGGCCGAGCCGCTGGAGCCGGCGGAGCTCGGGGCCTTCACCGACTCGATGCTGCCGGGCTGCTCCCGCCTGCTGGACGAGCTGCCCGACACCGTGTACCGCGTGTGCGACCTGCTCATGACGGCCGTGCGCAGGAACGGGCCCGCCTACAGGGACAGCGTGCTCAAGCAGGTGGTGCAGCAGGTATGGGACCCTTCTGAGACCCCCTGAGATCCCCTGAGCCCCCCTGACATCCCCTAACCCACCCTGAGCGTCCCCTGAGCCCCCCGACCTGCTCGTGACGGCCCCGCGCCACAGCGGCCTGGCTTAGAGGGTCTCAGTGCTAGAGCAGGTGGTGCAGCACGTGTGGAACCCCCCTGGACTCCCCCGCCCCCCTGAAGCCCCCCTAACCCCCTGCCCCCCCAGGTGTGGGAGGCGGCCGATGTCCTCATCAAGGCGGCCGTGCCGCTCACCACCAGCGACACCAAGACGGTCTCGGAGTGGATCAGCCAAATGGCCACGTTGCCCCAGGCCTCCAACCTGGCCACACGCATCCTGCTGCTCACCCTGCTCTTCGAGGTGAGGGGGGGCCCAAAATCCAGGAGAGTCCCCAAAACCTGGGGGGGCACCCTGGAGGTGGTCAGTCCCCTTGTCTGTCATAGAACACTCAGAGTGTTCTCAGAACACTCTTTGTCCCCCCAAAATCCGGCTGTTTAGGGCAAAGTGGGTTGGTTTCGGGGGTGTTTAGGTGGTTTTGGTGGGTGCCTGCATTTTCTTTAGGGACGTGTTTAGGTGTTTTGGGGGGGTGTTTGGGTTTTTGGGGTGCCCCTGACCTCCACAGGAGATGAAGCTTCCCCATGCTAGAGTGGAGTCCAGCCGTGTGCTGGTTTGAGGAGTGTTTGGGGTTTTTTTGGGGGGAGGTTTGAGCTTTTTTGGTAGATGTTCAGGTGTTTTGGGGGGGTTTGAGGTTTTTGAGGTGCCCCCAGGAGCTGAAGTTGCCCTGTGCCCAGGTGGTGGAGTCCAGCTGTGTGCTAGTTTGGGCGGTGGTTTGGTGGAGTTTTTTGGGGGTTTTGGGGGTATTTTGGGGTGTTCAAGGTTTTTGGGGTGCCCCCAGGAGCTGAAGCTGCCCTGTGCCCGGGTGGTGGAGTCCAGCTGTGTCCTGGACGTGCTCATCAAGCTGCTCGAGGTGGTCCAGCCCTGCCTTCAGGCCGCCAAGGAGCACAAGGAGGTGCAGACCCCCAAGTAAGGAGGCCCCCACAGAGGCCCCCCCACCCGCCCCGTGCCCCCCAGGCCCCACCTGGATGCTCTGGTGGCTGTTTTTTCCCCCAAAAAAAGGTGGATCACCCCTGTCCTGCTGCTGATTGACTTCTACGAGAAAACAGCCGTGTCCTCCAAGCGCCGGGCGCAGATGAACAAGGTGGGGGCTTCTGGGGGGGGTCCTGGGAGGGTCTGGGGTCACAGGGAGGGCTCTTGGGGGGCCCCCGGGGGCACACAGTGGGTCTGGGATGAGAATAGGAGGATAGGGATTGGTG